CCAGGCGCCGTCCCGGGCCGGGGGTCCGCTGCCGCCTCCAGGCTGCGGCTGCGCGAGGCGGACTCGGTCCCCTCCCTTGACAGCAACCGCAGCGGGTTTCAGCATTGCAGACAGCAGGTTTCAGCTGTGTTATGTATTTGCTGGCACAGGGACAGTAAAACCTTGTGTGTGCACAGAGATTCGTGTCTTTCGTAATCGTACACAGTGGTTGCTTCAAGCCCTGGCCTTGCATACGTTATCCTAAACATAGCTTTGTTTGTTCAAACTAATCTACCCTTAATCATTCACAGACCTACTTTGCAGTTCTTCCAATATCTGTATAGAAGTTTTCAATAGCCTGTTGTTGTTTTGAGCTTTTTTTTGCTATTATGCTGATTTAGAATTACTGGCATATTTCCAAGCAGTTTCTGAATTATATGTGCCTAAATAGTAAGTGGTGTTTTGAGCATTTTTTCTTCAGTGCTTGGTATAACTGATCTATCACTGGAGCTTTTATCAAAGAACTAAACCAATATTAAGTAACTTTATTCATTGCCAGCTTAATAAAAGGAGTAATGACATAGTAAGTGTTTGGTGCCTGAGGCAATAATTCTTAAAAACCCGAATTTAATTTTGACATTGATGGCTAATATCTGTTTGTTTGTTGTTAGTAGATGTGAATGGAGTCTCGGTATCTGAAGAGATGCCTGGGAAATTGCTTGAAGAAGGGACTGGCAGAGGTTGTGGAGCATCGGCCAGCAGATCCAATAGAGTATCTGTCACATTGGATTTACAATTACAGAATGATCTTAGATGAAGAAAAAAAGGTGGATCCATCTTAGGCAAAAAAAAATTAATTACAATATAATTGATGCTATTTAATGTCTCTAATTTTGTTAATTGATTCTGTGTTACCTCTGAAATAGAGAATGTTGGAGAGGATTGAGCTGGAACAAGAACAGGAGGTGGCCCTGGTAGAACTTGAAATGTTAAGAAAAATTAAGGAAGAGCTAATGATCCAGCAGAAACTTGAAGAACAGCGTCAGGTTAGTAATACTTAACAGATAATTATACATAGGATGTGAAGCTGTGGCATCCTGTGGCTCTCTGTATACTTCTAATATCTGTATAATGATTTTGGTAGAAGGTAACATAATAACTGAAATGATTAGTCAGCACATGGGAAGGAAAATTATGTACCATATGGTAAACTGTTGTAAATAAAATAAAGTAGCCTAAGGTAAAAAGCAACCAATTTAAGACTTCCAGGAGAAGTAACTTAAAATGTAGATTATTTTCTGTATTTAATTATGAACAAGAGCTAGTGCAAGTAAATCTTGAAATCATTGCAAAAATTTTTGACAGGCCTGCTAGGAGGCCTGGGAGTAATAACTGATCATTGTCTCAAGCTACTTCAGTGTAAGATCAGTAATGCCAAAAAATGTAATGAGAACAATAATATACAATTATTGAAATCTGAAAATGGTTGGGAATCAGTGAACAAAGGTTGCTTTTTTAAGCTCTGTGTATAGCCTGATCCAGTAAGGTGCCGTTTTCTTTCTTTAGCTACCTGAGCATTCTTTGGCAGAAGGCAATTTGAATCCTATACTGTATGGACTTTAAGCATGAGAAATAAAGATAAGATCTGTGTTTCAAGCTCTTCCTTATAAAGGAGTCATATGAGTTTGACCACATGTGTAAGAACTCCAGTGTTGCTGTAGTAATATTGATAGTATCTAGCTGTATTTTTTACATGGCTGATTTTCATGATGTTAAAATCAAAAGTGTAATTTTAAATCTATGCTGATCTTGTTAAGTCCAGTCCTAGTGTAAGATGCATTTGTTCTATTTCACTTGTACTTTTAAATTTGGGATTTACTAATTTGCAGACCAAAAGTTGCGTGCTTAAGTATTTAATTATTTAAATTGATTAATTATGATCAATATGATTAAGTGATTTAATAATCTAAAATAGTAAATGAAAACAAGAATATGTTTGTGTCTAGAGATAATTCACAGAGATTAAATAAATTATTTCATGTAAACTATGGGAAGGATGTTGAATAATACATTAGTCACATTTTTAACCTAACTCACAGTTTTGGCTATAGTCACATACTCGGGCATGTTGTGATTATAGGTACCAAAAAGGAAAGTGAAAACTAGTTACTACAATATGACCATATTTGTAGTAACTGCTCAGAAAATGCTACAGCAAACATATTATCTAGGCCCTGGTGTGGCTGAATGTGAACGCTTAGATTTTGCAGTTTCTGAAGTTTTGATGCAATAGGATTTAGGCTCGCAAAGAATAAGCACTTTGTATTAGATATTTCCAATTGGAAATATTAAAGGTTGCTGATGAAGATTAATATTAATGACATTTTCTATAGGTTTGATTCTATATGGATTCATCTGTCTCTGCTAGATACTATACAAAGGGTTTAATCTAAAGTATAGGAGATAATGAATACAGACTGATAAAGAGTATGCGGAATGAGACAATGTCTTAAGTGTGTACACTAACTTCAGCTGTGTTTCTTCTTCCTCTTGGTAGTAAAGCCTTTCTATCCATGCAAGTCTAAAACCTGTGAAAATGTTGAGTCAGGTGATAGTGAAAAGGCTTTATGTTATTAACATTGCAGTTATGTTTTATGCTTCCTTTTTTATTTCATTTAAAATTTCCATCATGAAATACATTGTAAGCAATGGAGGGGGAAGATGGATATGTATTTTTTTCCTTCTAATTTGTCCTTTCTTAAACTGTCTGCAGAGTCCGTTGGAGCAGGAACGTCAGGAGCTGGAACTGCAGAATGAAGAAGACTTAATACTGTTGCAGCAGAAAGATCAAGAGGTGTAAGAGAAAGCTTAGTCAGTGGTTTGAAAATACTGTTAATCAGGTGTTTTTTCCAGATGCAGACACTAAAACTGAAACACAAGGCAGAGGCCCATGGGTGTTGAACTAACCCATAAATTAAAAAAAAAAAGTGAAAACGTGGGGAGAATGTTTTTAACATCTTGCTTCCAGTCTGGGTTTTGTACTTGATTTTTGGTCTGTTCTGTTAGGTTTTTTTAGTTTATATTCAGAACAGAGGATAAATTTGTTAAGAAATTAAGCATAACTTCAGCTTACTTGATGCGTTCACATTCCTTGATGTTATTTATGAGAAAGCATTATAACTTAAGCATGTCTAATTTAAGTGTCTATTTTACAGTATGTCAGTGCAAATTCCATTTGCTGTACCTGGAAGAACTGTGGTTTGTAAATGGGATGCCTCTTGATTCTCCTGGTTCACAGGAATTTATATTAACAGAAGAGTGTGTATACAGGTGTCTGTGTAAACGTATGGTCTTTTAATGCTATTTCAGTAAAAACACACTGATAATTGCCATGTTTATGTTGATAAAACTTTAAAATGTCACTATCTCTTAAATTTATTTTGAGCATGTCATGTTTTAGAGATACGTTTGTTCTTAGAGCACTGTTAAAATACTGACAGAACATAACTGTATAAAGATGACAGTATGAAAGTGACAAAAAAAAAAGAGTATGTAGAAATTTAAACCAAAATTCCTGTGGTTTTAAAAAAACTGAAGAAAGTAGACTTAACAAGCATAGAAAGACCATATTCACACACTAACACATTTGTCTATCACACATCCAAAGTATTCTCTTTGTATAAATACATAATGTCATTTTAGCACATCTAAAATATTCTCCATAGGTAATTACTCATGTCATGGAATACTTTTAACTGAAAACTGGTTTTCATTACCATAGGGAAATGAAAAGATGATAGCTGAACTTACAGATAGTCCTGGAGCTCCTAAATTGACCAGAGTTGAGGAGCTCAATGGGAATGGCCAGTGTGAGGTAAGTGTTTAGAAAGAACAGGGGAGATAAGTGATTGATTCTTACAGATTTGCTTTTCTATCCTGACATACGAAAGGTTAAAACTATTGCAGTCAAGAGTGTGCCATTTCTCTCCTATGGTTTCAAGGGATGATATTTTGGCCACAACCTCCAGACTACCCATAGCCTGTTCTCTGGTACAAGTTAAAGCCATTCTAAAGACTGGGTGGTGGTGGCTGACTAAATCCTCAAGATATAAGATGCCCTTTTGTATTCAGATATGTTATGAATGGGAAGTATTAATATTCTTGGAGAGATTATTTAATAATATTTAAGAATATTCACTTCCTTTGCCATGTGAACAGATAGTCATATGCAACATGTACTAAATCACAAAAGATGACTCACCCTTGAGTGATTGAAGATATTTACATTTTTTTCTGATTGATGTGAAGTATATGTTTTGTGCAGCAGAATGCATTCTTGTGCAGAGATATCTAAGCAAACATTTAATATATAACACCAGATATTAAGGACACACAGTGCTCACTAAGGCCAGGACCTGCTAAGAATCAGGTTCTCTGAGCCCTATGCTGACATGAATGTACTGCTTGCAGTACTACAGCTGTGCCTCTGTTGTGATCCTCAGACATCTTCTGTGCCCAGCTTTTAATTAATTTTTTTTTTATTATTATTATTATTATTTTTGTACTTGACAGTCCAGAGAAATAAGAGAACGTGAATCACCTTCATTGATTGTAAGGCATGGCAGTACATTTAACAGATAATGCCAAATCCTGCAAAATCACTCAGCTTTATGAATATTCACTGGTCATAAAGATACTGATATCTGTCTGACCTTTTCCAGTTAGAGTATTCCAAGTGGTGTGACTTGAGATTTTGATATTCTAATTTTAGAACCTCATTTAAAAACCTTTTTCATTTATTAACCTTCTTCTCATTTCTTGTATGAGTAGTGTAATTCTAGCTCAGAATTTATATTGTGATATTAATATGCTTTATGCCTAAGATTACTTTAATAACAGTCTGTTTTATAAGGGTTCTCTAAATATATTTATGAACATACTTATGACTATCCTTAGGGTCAGGTTTTCACAGGTGTTTTTTCCCTAAGGTAAATTAGATGAGTTCTCAAGATCTCATATAGCCCCATTTTTTTATAATTTTCTGATAATTACATATTTTAAACTATTCTAGAGGCTTCTAGAGGCTTGTTGAATTAAACTACAAATTAAGAACAAATCAATAAAATTAATATACATAGACTTGTACTATTGAAACTATACTGCTCTCAGAATCATCATATTTCAGCCAGACCCACTGTATTTTATAATTAAAAGTCTGGTGATAAACTTAATTATTTCACTGAATGGAAGAATACATAATTATCTTGATGAATACCAACTTGTTTCTCATGGGTTTTTTTTCTTTTTTACTGTTTTTTATGTTTTGCAGAGTTTAGTTAATGCTGGCAACTGATAGAATTTCTTTTTTTATTTTTTAATGTGTAACAGATCTCATGGCAGAAACAGAACAAGAAAGTTCCTAACTGATCTGAAAGCAATAAATATATTTTCTACTCATTACTTGCTGGTCCTGAAGTGTAATATCTTAATTTATGTATTTTATATATAAAACTGATTCACATACCTGTTGTTTCAGTTTCTGTGCTTTCTGGGTGTTTGTATAAAGTCTGTTAATTCTGGCATGTGATGTTTCCTTTTTGTTCTTAAACCATTGCAGCTAGCATGTCTGACTCAGAGGAAGAAAACTGTAATTGAAATGCAAGCAGTAAATTTATTTTTTACATACCACCCACTGATTCTTGAAGTGTAACATTAATAATTATAGATATAATTAATGTGTCAAGATTATTTTGGAGTAGAGGCTACAATATGGTAATTTGAACCGATATTAAAAGAATAAAAGATTATTGGAAAAGGATTTTCAAAGAATGTGAATGGTTTCTGGTAGAAAGAGAGAATGCTCTACCGATTAGAAGATGGAGAGAGTTCTACACATCAAAGTAGGTGTAAAAATCAAATCAGATTATTTTACAGTTTACCTGGAAGAGATAAATTGAAGTCTATGTGACTCCATAGACAGATGTACTAAAAGATCTTGTCTGTCTTAGAAATGATGAGGTGGTTTTTGTAACATTAGGTGTTTGCTCTAAGCTTTATAATAAACTTTCTGGTTATTTTGTGATATGAAGTGAGCTGCAAGTGTCTGCATGTCCGTTTCAATTAGTCATGTCTTAAAATGATCTTTTCTGCATTTGTTTTGAATTTGCAAATCAATGAATTACATCTGTGTTGTCTTTACTAAATACCATTACTAGTTCTCAGATCTTCACCTCTAAAAATTTGGAAGAATATTTAGCTTTATCCATATTTATCTATAGAAATAAGTTTTATAAAACCTAAGGCAATCTTTAAGGATTTAAAGAACAAATTTCTGTAATCACTGATATCAGGTTGTCAAGAATGTTCCGTGTCTGTTCATTGTAAATGGAAAAGACAACAAGAAATCCTATGCTTCTTGGCTAAAATGTGCCTTTGCATCTCAGTGTCTTCTAATAATACAGGTTTGTTGGACAATTAACCTTTAAGTCATTGCCAATATTGTATAATGAAACTACTCTTCATTACAAATTCAGTACATAGTGCATTTACTGCATTTCTCAGTTTTGGGATGAAAGATATTTTTGGAATAATTTCACTTCAATTTCTTTATATTATAGCTAGCTTCAAGGGTTTTGTTATCTTTGGCAAACTGTTAAAAATATCTATACACTCAACAGGCAAAGGTCAATCACATAATAAATATTTTTCTGCTCTAAATAACTTGTTCTGTTCATGTAGCTCATACTAGGCATAATCCTATAATTTTTTTAAAAGTAAGCACTAATGATTTCTAGTATAGTAATATATTATGTTTTCTTTAAAAATAATAAAGTATTAAGAAAACTCCTTTTGCCCTCTTTATTGCCATATTGCTTTTTGGATGCTGTTAATTGGCATGTCTTGTATGAACATCTTTAAAATCAAAGGAGAAAAATGTCACTTTCCAGGTATAAACTTAGGAATGTTCGTGTAACTTTTTAGGTAATGAAAAGTGGAACTACTTTTGTGACTAGGTGGTCAGGCTTTGCTACCTACATTTATTCTGCATTGGTATAGGTTGGCAATTTCTATGACTGTCAAAAACCTTTTCTGTGGCATGAATATGCCCTTATGGTTGATAGTCCAGTAAATGATTTTGTCACGCTTTATGATTGTATTTATTAGTAACAGTTAATATAATTTTAAGGATGCATTTTAAGTTACTGATTTCCAGTTATGCCTATTAACACTGTGTGCGCAACAGCCTCTTGTGCCTGTCTCAAAGGAATGGAGTAACTAGGTAGATAGATGGAGTTTCTCTTCTGAACCAGTATGTATAACTGAATCTTGTTATTTAGATTAAAATTTTCAAAAATTGGTAAGTAACTGGTGTTCATTTATGTTCACTGTAAAAACTTCAGCCTTCTTACAGCCTTCATATTTAGTTAGGAAATAAATTCAAGTTATAAGATAGTATTTTAAAACATGCTAGTAAATAATTCTAATTGCTACTTCCAACACATGGCTTTCATTTTCCATCTTTTCATAACATTTCTATCTTTGATTTTGTTATATGTGTTATATCCACTAGAGTACATCCTAAATAAACATACTGGTTGCTCTGTCAGTTACAACCCATGAAAATTACAACTTTGGTCATTTTGTCTCAGCTTATTTTTAACTGTAACTTCTTTCTGATCCAGCAGTTTGTATTCCCTATTATCTTTCTAGATAGGAATTGAATTTTTGGATGGAAACTTTTATCAGAAAATTGCTTAGCAATGGTCAAAATCAAGTGGTAGATTCCACTTTACCTATTTCTTTGCTGTTATATTAGGTACAGAACGCATAAATTGTTTAAATGTTATTTATAGGAATTCCCATTTTTTTCAGGATTTGATGTGCCTAGAATTGGTGCCTTCTTTAGCTTTATAAGAATGCTTATGTTGGTTATGGGACCAGAGGGTAAACAGTTCTTGGCTCAGTACCTTCTTAAGGTGCAAAGCAGCCTGTAGGTAACTTGGAAATGTAGTTCACAACAAAGATGCCTTCTCCTTGGGTGTCTAAGCCTGGAGGGAGATTAAAATAATCTGTGCAGTTTCCTTCTGAACTTTAACCTTCTTTGGAGTGTAGCCAGCTAAAGCTAAAGCCTGGAACAGAAAGAGAACAGAGGAGAAGATTCTATTTTATTGTTACTGCATGTGATGTGATTTCAGAAGTGTTAATACAGTTTAACTTCTGCATAAAATCTTAAGTTGTATATTGAAAAATACGCAATTCCCTTTGAATATATTTTTGTGGAATTAAGACGATGGAGTTCAGAGGCAGATGATGGAAAATACTGCTGAAAATAAAATGCTAAATACTGACAGAAGATTTACGAATCTGTGATTTTTCCTTTCTTCAGAATAGGAGCAGACTTATTTAGGCCGCTATCAGACCCCATGTACAGATCCTCCAAAGAACGTGCTGATAGTAATGTGTCCATTCACAGCTGTTCTCATACCAGCAATACTGGAGCATAAGGATGAAAACAGATATGAAGCCCAGAATAGGACAAAATGAATCGGATTAACCCTCAGTCTGCTCACAGAGGTGGGAACTTGGCTCTGCAATGTGAGCTTTTCTCCTACAAGGAGACATATATGCTGCAGCAAGCATGTTTTAATGGTACATTTTAACAGAACAGGCTTTATTAAGTCTGCTGTCCCCTTTCTAATGATGGGTGATTTTCCTTCAAAGTCTAAAGGAACTAATTTATCTTTTTGTAAGCAAGAGCTTTATACAGTAGTTTGGTAATGAGTCAGATGAATTAATCTAGATTAAATTGAATTGCTCTGAACTTTGCTAATACAGTTGACTCATATTTGAAGTCAGCTATTAATTGCTTTACTTTTGTGATGTTTTTCCTGTACTTAGGTTAGATAAAGAACAGTGTTGTCTAATGACTACAGCTAGAAAAGAGGGTCTAAACCTGTTGTTGGCTCATAAGGACTGAATTACTTGTTAAAGTATTTTAACAGTACATTTGTTTGTTGTTTTTGTTTGTTTTCTGACATGACCGTTATAAACCCTCATGCAGTCTTTGTGCTTTATACTTGTGTATTTGTTTCAATTCATATGATGGAAAAAGCTATACTATTATAAGCATTTTGTATAGGTATCATTAGGCTAACAGTAGTGGGAGAAAGGCAAGGTAGAGGAACATGACATTTAATCAAGCTATCACAGTGTAGCAAACTTTTTAAGAAGCAGAAGACTGATTCACAGAATTTGAGAGCTTTCAGATGTATATCAAACTTGAATGCTGTGGGTTTTGTGTATTGACCTGCATCTTGTAGAATCATTATAAACCAAAATCAGTGTTTAACTTAGAGATCAGAATTGTTGTCACTTAGACTAGTATTTTTTATTATTTGAAATAAGTTATTCTAGAAGATGCTACTAGCAGCTGTGTGGAGATGCTGAGTGCTTCCATTTTATTGTAGGGCAACCAAAATCAATGGCCATTTTGAAAAAAAAATGAGATGACCAATTCCTTAGGTTAGTCTTTTGACTATGTGAACATGAGCTAATTGAGGGGGAAGTAAAAAAAAAAAAAAAAAAAGTTATTATATGAAGCCATTTTGTGTACTAATACCAAGCATGTTTGTATTATCACCTGAAAATAAATCCAAAGGCAAATGGTCAAGTAATGTAATAAGTAGAGAAGGTTGCCTTTTTCTTCTTGTTGATTAATCTTATTTTGAGTTATTATCCATCACAAAGGCTACATGTATTGATGTCTCTACTGACACAGAAATATATATTTCACTAAAAATCAAAACTCTTCCCTATTATTTTGCATCTGGCATAATTTAAAATTTCAATGTACTTAAGTGGTGATATGAAGCTTGGATTTGATTTTAAAAAAAAAAACAAAACCAAAACGTTGATATTTAGGAGTATCCTACCAAAGTTATCTAAATAATCTTACCTCACTAAGGAGCATTTAGAAGGTTTAGGAATCTTTTAACAAAATCCCCAAGGAGCTTTTGCCACTTTGTGTATGTAGTCATCTATGTATCTCAATACAAGTTGCTATTATTAAAGAGATATATTTTTTTTTTTCCCCATAATCTTGGGAAAGTGTGAAAAATACATTATCTTTGTTTGATGCAAGAATCCCCTTGGTGTTTGAGTTCAGCAAATTGTTTTCTGGATGAAATAAATTATTTTCCTCAGTAGTTCTTCTGTAATTTAGATACAGTCTAGCAGATTCCAGGTAAAGAAGTTAGCTTTTTCTGTGGGAGGAGGGGGAAGAAGTATGTCTGAACTTGATAATTACCTCGGTTAGTCTGTTTTTCTTAATGAACCGAATCATATTTTCAGCTCCAATAAAGCTGTATGCTGTTTTGTTTCTGGAAAAAAAAATGAAGCAAAGCTTTTTTTGGTGCACTGAGGATGTAGTCTTCCAAGGATCTCAATTTTGTTCTCATTGAAGTTGCAGAAAAATGTGTGGTTGAAATCGTAAGAGGATTGAGTTCTCTACTAACATGAGCATGACTTCTACCTCCAAAAAGCCATCTCTTATTTGTTAAACTTTTAATATACTTAATATTAAAACATGAGAGAATTGACTGACTCAGACTACATACAAGGAAAGATAACTGCAGAAGTTAAAAGAGATAAATTGTTATGGGGAGAGTGGGAGAGAGGAAACACTCATAATAAGTCATTCTCATTGCAGCAAAGGGATACTGCAGCTCCCCTTTGCTCAGTTTCAAGCCACATTCCTGGGAGTGTGTTTTGTTTCTCCAATCATTCCACTTCATTTCTGCTCCACCTCCTGAATGCACTTTCTTCCAGAAATGACTGGCTGCATGCAAACACGCCTGTATTTGGTTCATTATTATCTTAAGCAATTGCGGTTTTGCCACTGATGTGTTTAGTAGATAAGTTTAAAAAAAATGTTATTTATTTAGCTGATAATTGTAACCCTGGAAACAGAATCTGTTGTTTGTTTCATTGTAAACCTAGCTGCACTGAAAAGTTACCCTTAGGCACTGACAGCTGAAAACTTCTAGGGCTAGGACTGCTGTGAAGTTCTGAGACAGCTGTTCTTCAACATTTTTTTTTTAGTGGGAATATATATCTAAGTGGAACGCATACTAAAAAATGCACCACGATTTTGTTTCTTACTTGGACTTGAGTTGTTGCCACATTTGCTTGTATTTTCAAACTATTTAGTCAGGCTTCTTGCAAAAACTGTGATCAATCATCCCTCTGAAACACTATTTTCTTAATAGATCATGTTTTTATAGCCCCTGATCTCTTAATATCTTTAAGATAAATTTTTTCAACACTGCTCAGACATAGACCATTGTTAACTCAAAACACATATGCCCCTTACTCTTCTTATGTGACTTTTAAAACTTTTTTAAAAAACCCTATCGCTTAGAAACTCAACATAGTTACATGATGTATGTATGAATCTATCTTAGAATTTGTTCAAGCTTTGCTTGGCACAAAAAATCAGAAGAATAGAGCCAGACCTATACATTTCTATATACTTGGCCCGACTCTTGACACAGAGTACTGTAAAGGCAGGTTTCCTTTTTCTTTTTTTTTCCCCCCAACAGTTTCTTCAAATGCCTCTCCAGCAGATCCAACTTTCTCATATTTTGTGACTACAAGAAAATTGCCACTTGTATGTGTGGTAAGCTCATGCAGCTGGGAGCAATACATCAGTATTCTTTTTCATACTTTAAATCAAAGGACCATCTAACCTTTAAAAAAAAGGTCCATTGACTGTATTTCGCTTTATTAGAATAAGTATATTCTGAGTATCAAATTAAAAAAAAATTACTGCTTACAGTATTTCAGTGTTATAAACACTGCAAAAATTAAACCCACAGCTTTGAATATGTTCAAATATTTGTGAATTCAAAGTCTGGAAGTGAATTTTGTATTCTAGTCTTCTGTCTGTACAGAGAATATTTTAGTTTCTAATGAGATCAGGTCTGTGCTTACTGAACTTACTGGCAGGACTCCCATTTGAGTCCTGGTAAAAATATTCATGGCAGCTGCGTGGGAATATCTGTGTGTGTCTTAAAAATAATTATGCATTAAAATCACTTTGCTGACCTTGCTTCTAAAGACTTACAGAATCCTGGTGACCTATTTTATGGTATTGTAGAGGTGGAGAGCTAACAAAATAGAACTGATCACCCAAAATCTCCAAATGCCTTGTTCTCTGACTGTTGCTGTTGGGATGCTAAGCCACTGGTAGCAGCTGGGAAGTGGTTAATAAACTACAGTGTAGACTTACCATTACTTTTCTCAT